TTAGTTTTTCCAGAACATTAACTGGTACATCTGGATGCTGCTACTGCTGAAGAGTGCACTAGCCTAAAAACTGCAGATTTCCAATTGCATGTCAGGGCCCTGGAGATAAAAAGCCTAAAGAAACTATAAATTTCTAGCACTGAAACTGGCTGGTGGTTTCTAGCTGTTTTTGTTATATGTTGCTTTGTTTGCAGAGCCATAATTATAAACTGATTGCAGCTAGGGGAAAAAAAAGATATACTCTTGTTCTCCATCCTGCATAGTAATTAGTGTGATGGTGTGGTCTGTCTCTAACTGTGTTGGGTTTTTACAAATATGACCAATCTTTTTGATGTTGCTTTAGAAAATGACAAATATAAAATGTACAAGGGGGGACCCGCGATACTTGCGGGGGGGCAGTCTCTCTCTTTCCCCCGTTCTCTCTCTTCCCCCCAGTCTCTCTCTCTCTCTCCCCCGTTCTCTCTCTCCCCCCTTCTCTCTCTCCCCCCCTTCTCTCTCTCCCCCCTTCTCTCTCTTCTCCCCCCCCACGATGGTGAAGATGAGGATGGCGGCCAAGGTGGAAGCCACCCAAGGGGGCCGCTCCGAGGCCGGCGGGGGGCTGTCCAAGCCGCTCCCGTTGCCGCCTCGCCTGCCCCAATACATGATGCACTTTTAAGGAACTATCAGAATGTGTTCTTTCTTTTCAACGTCATGTCTGATAATGCAACCAATTCCTCCATTAAGGGGTGAGTTAAGAGACACCTCTGGCAGTTCTCTGTCCACGTACTGTTGAAGCCTAGCTTGTAGGATCTTGAGCATGACCTTGCTAGCGTGTGATATGAGTGCAATTGTGCGATAGTTTGAACATTCCTTGGCATTGCCCTTCTTTGGGATTGGAATGTATACTGGCCTTTTCCAATCCTGTGGCCACTGTTGCGTTTTCCAAATTTGCTGGCAAATTGAGTGCAGCACTTTAACAGCATCATCTTTTAAGATGTTAGTACAGTTCTCAAAAAATAAGGGGCGTTATTAGGGTAATGATACAAGATGAAAGTGATGCAGATGGGAAGTTCTTAGGGAGTTGGGGAGATGGGTCTTGCACAAGAGCACACTTCAGGCTCAGGTTCAGAGCTTGGGGTGCTCTTGGATGCAGTCCTGCTCATGGATATCCAGGTCACATCAGCGGCATCCTTCCCTCAAGATTCAACACCTAGCCACAGTTAAACCTTTAAATAGCAACTTTAGATTAGACACACACTGGAGGTGCTCTTAAAAGGCAGCCCAGAAGCTAAAGCTGGTGCGGAAACCAGTGGTGGTAAGATTCTGTGATATTCAGGGAGCCCACTTGCCAGTTTTAGATAAGCTCTGTTGGCTCCTTACCTGTTTCTGGGCCCAGTTAAAGCACAGTTGTGCTTTATAGCCCTTTATAGTCCTTTTTTGGCCAAAAGCAGAGCATTTTCACTGATGGCAACCAAGCCACCTCCTTGGACAAAACCCACCAATCCTTCTAATTGCTCAAGTTTTGTAGCACAGTGGATTTTTTTTTTCACTTCGAGCTAGGGACACCAGCCTCCAGGTGGGACCTGGGGATCCCCCGGAGTTACAGCTCATCCCCAGACTACAGAGATCAGCTCCCCTGGAGAAAATGGATGCTTTAGCAGAGGTGTCAAATTCATTTGTTAGGAGGGCTGGATCTAGAGATGCCAGTCCCCAGGTGGGGGCGGGGGATCCCCTGATTTTGTGGACTTCTGCCCACCAGCAGCCAGCAGGCCAGTGGGGGAAGGAAGTCACACCCCCAAGCCCCACCCCCAACAGCAACCACCGGGCAGCTACCCCTCCCCCTCCTGCAAGATTTAAAAGGCCCTCCAGCTGATCAGCAGGAGCACATCACTGAAGAGCCCTTTAAATCTTGCAGGAGCTGAAGGGAGGGAGAGGAGCAGCCACCAGCCGCACACCTGAACTCCAAGCGGCGAATTCACTGCTTGGAATTCAGGCACGCATGGCCCCTGCTTGCAAGAAGCATTTAAAGGGTCCCTTTAAATGGTTTTTGCAAGTGGGAACAGTGTGCTTCTGAATTCCAAGCGGTGAATTCGCTGCTTGGAGTTCAGGTGCACGGGGAGCCAAGGCACCCGCTTGCAAAAACCATTTAAAGAGAAGTTTCCCTTTAAATTGTTCTTGCAAGCTGGTGCTGATGGTGCCTTCCATGGGGTTGCGTACCTAATATGATGACATCCCTTCTGTGTAACATTATCACATTGGGAATGTCCCCGCCCCCTCCAGGAACACCCCCTAAATTCCCCACGGGCAACAAAGCAGGACCTGGCAACCCTAGCTAGATCTGACATAAATGTCATTGTGTCTGGCTGGGCCATGTGAGCCATAACATAGAATGCCAAGTAGCAGAGATATAAACTATACAAAGGACACTGACAAACCCAGTTAAGAATATTTTTAACTCAAAATACAAACCTACATAAAACATTGACACTCTTACAGTATTTCCTTTTTTTAACAGTCTTTAATAACTGACACTTCTTGCTCTGAATTACTGCATCAAAATCTGGAGTCAACATCTGTGCTTTAGCAGTCTTGAGTATGCTGTTTAGATGTGTATCTGTAAACTGAGAATGTACTTTTGTTTTATTGACATTTTATTACAGAAAATAACTGTTCACAGACATACGTTGCCCCATAGAATTTTAGAAGCAAAAGCCTCTAAATTGGGGGTAATTCAAATAGAAAAACTGGTAAAATTTCCTAATGCTAACTTCAGAAAGTTTATCCTTCAGTACAGCGTCACACTGCTCCCTCACCTACCTGCGATTTGTGGCATCCTTTTATTGGTAGGTGGGGAGCAGTGTGAATGGCCCATGATGTCAACTGTACTGACTCACTATGTGTAATCCATCTTGAGCACGCCTCCCACCTTAGAGAATCTTTTCCTCTCCCTTTCCACCCCCCCCCCCAACCTCTGCCACAGGAATCCACGGTCTCTCTCTGAAAATACACTTCCCTACTACACTAGACCAGCAACTTTTTTCTCTGCAACCCCGGAAATATTTTTTGTGTGTGAAGCAGGGTTTCTTCCCCACTTAGAGAGGCCCACCCCAAAATGTACACATGTACACATATAACACAAACTCTTCAAGGAACTGGAGCCACCACCTTCAGCGCTTGCTCAATCCACCACAAAAATCATGAACCCTCCACAGATTCACCAGCCCCCTGGTCCATGGCCAGAACTCCTAACCTTTTCTCCCACCACCTCTGTGTGATTCATCCACACCAATCCACCCTCCTCCAAATCTCAAGTCTGCTCCCACTGACCACTCCTTTCCTTGCACTTCAGTCCCACTTAGAGACCTGACCTTCCACAAAGACACCCCATAGTTCTGCAGTCTGAGCACGGGGACTAACAGCTGGGAGACCCAGGTTCATCAGCTGCACTCTGCCACGGAAGCTGCTGGGTGACTTTGGGTCAGTCACTCTCTCAGCCTAACGTACCCTGCACAGCTGTTATGAGAACAAAAACATAGATGGGGTGAACAATACTTGTAAATTGCTTTTGGGTCCCCATTTGGGGAGAGAGGCAAGGTACAGATGCCTTGAAAATAAAATAAAATGATGCAACAAAATCTCATTAAGTCTTTTAAGGTGGCTCAAGACTCCTGTTGTCTTAGCCCCCTGCTCTTGCATGCCATCCACCCCAAACATAAACACCTAGCACTTTCCCTCAGCCCAACATCTATATTGCTCCTCCTCTCCCATGGCTTTCCACGTGCAGTTCCCACCACATACCCCACTGCACCCATGTCAACCCTTACCTTCCATGCCCCTCCCTCCAGTCCCTCATACTCTCCCCCCCCCATACACTCTGGCATTCCCATTCCTACACTTCCCCCTAACACCCATTTCCATCAGCAGCTCCCACCACCTTCACACATAATGACTTTCTCCCTCCCTTCTTCTTCCTTCCCTCCTCCCTCCTCCCAAAGGTCGGCTTCTCCGGCATTGCAGTGGAGAAAGAGCAGGAGAGGTGGGCAGAGGAGAAGAAGGTGGCAGTGACAGTGGCAAAGGAGGCAGCTTCTGCTGCTGAAGCAAAGGGCACAATGCACGGGCACTGATGGGCAGGTGGTGACTCCCCATCTTTGACAGAAGGAGAAGAGGGGGCAGTGGCTGCATTAGCTCAGCCTGGCCCAACCACAAGACAGAGGAGGAGGGGATGGTCCCTTCAGCCAGGCAACCAGACACGGGTCTTTTTGCTGCTCTTGCCACTGCTCCCTCTAAGCTGTGGAGTCTGGTGAGCAAAAATTCTGCTTCGTGAGCTACTGCATAAAAGTTGTGAGCAAGCGATCTGGCTACTGCATACATTCGTTTGCTCTGGAGCCATCCTTCCTGAGCCAAGACAAAAATGTGTGAGCCGGAGGCTAATAAACTGTGAGCTAGCTCACGCTAAATCAGCTTAGAGAGAACACTGGCCACCACCACCCTCCTCTTCCTTGCCCATGGGCTGGATAACAGACCTGGATGGCCCGGGACGGCCCCCAGACCTTACGTTTGACGCTCCTGCTTTAGAACACTGTACTGCACTGAGGTCCCTGTCCTCCCCAGGCCTCACCCCCAAATCTCCAGGAGTTTCCCAATCTGGATCTGCCCCCCCCCCCCCATCCAGTGCTGGCAACCTCACTTCAAGCCTTCCTAATGGAAGATTATTAACTTGGCTTTAAAATACACGTTCTGCCGGTGTTAGTGCTGTCCAATGGCTTTTTAGCATCTTAATTATTTATGATCCTATTGATGATGTATATTTTAAGTAGTTTGAACATTTGTATGATGCTTTGAGCATTTTCTGAGGGAAAGATGACACTGATAAATACAGTGAGCGGAAACATGAATGATGTCTTTTCTTGCTCTTCTGCTAGCTTTGGGTACATGGAACTTGCAGGAGATTCCTGCTTTCAGTCTCTCCTTACTTCCTGCTGTACCTAATATGTATCATGTCTCTCCCCCCCCCCCTTCAGAGCTGTGGGTAAAACTTGCCTCCTGATCAGCTACACCACCAATGCCTTCCCCGGAGAATACATCCCCACTGTGTGAGTATGATGCAGGGAACAGTAGAGGATTTTGAGAATGACAAGTTGGGAACTAGGTGTAATGAATTGCTTTTTTCAACCATAATTTACCTTTAGTGTATAAAGAAATGCCTTGACCTGGATAGCCCAGGCTAGCCTGATCTTCTCAGATCTGGGAAGCTAAGCAGGGTCAACCCTGGTCAGTTATTTGGATGGGAGATCACCAAAGAAGTCCTTCTGTGTTTTTTAATTTGTTTATAAAAATTAAAAAAATAAAATAAAATTTAAAAAAAAAACCCAAAGAAGTCCATGGGTCACGGACACAGAGGCAGGAAATGGCACACCACCTCTGAATGTTTTTTGCCTTGAAAACGCTATGGGGTTGCCATATGTCGGCTGCAACTTACAGTCTTGTTCCCCTTATACAAATACCAATGTGAAAGGCATGGCTTAGCAAGAGATTTCTACTCACGCTGCAGGCCATGCACATTGCAATGGTGCAGCTGAATGTACAACTGTGACTGGGAAATTATTTACCATAAATTAGGTGTAAACCTGTCCCTAGTGTCCTGGCTTGCTACATGCAGGGGGCTTTTATGCGGGGGAGGAATAGAAGAATATGAGCCACACTCAGTTGCCCTGCAACGTATTGCAGCTCAGTATTCTACCACTTCAGTCCGAATTCTGTATAAATGTGTGCACAGCAACTGAGAGATATTCCGTACTGAAAGCATAGTGATCACACTGCAGATACTATAAACTGAGAGACTTCCTGTGGGCACAGGATGGTTACTCCTGTCTATTACAGAGAGCAGCCAGTGTAGAGATATGACTACAGTCAGATTTGTGGAGTTGAAATGGATGAGAAAATGATCAAGTCACTCTCCAAAACAGAAGCAGCGAGTGACCCAGGAACAAGCTTAGCTGTTCAGCTTGCAGGCCACAGTGACGATGATTGCCCAGTATAACCTCCTCTCACACCACTGCCAGCTGGGTTTGAGCTGAGAGTCCCTGCAGGGATGGCAGAGTTTATGAGAGTTGGCTTGTTATTGGCCACTATTGCTCCACTGGGCACCTTCATGGTAAGTTAAAGGGCCTGCCCACTTTGCACAGGAGTCTCTGCGTTTTACTTCCTCACTCCCTGCATATGCTTCATTAGCCCGTATAATCAAGGCCAAGTACTATTCTGGCGGACTGCTTGGGGTGTCAGTGTCACTGGAAAGATCATGTGCTGAGCTTGAAATGGCATTTCCAGGCCCCCCCCCCCCCCCCAGGCAACAACTGAGTGGATATGCCCCTTAAATGAATGGTTATATGCCATTTAAAGGGCTCTGTATTTATCCTTTCTCCTACCGTGTGTGAGGAGAGCAGGGTGTGGGCAGAGAGGCTTCCCTCCACGTACCTCCTATTCAGATTTAAGGAACTGACACTTGCTTGTATTACAGATTTGATAATTATTCCGCCAACGTGATGGTGGACAGCAAGCCTGTCAACCTTGGGCTGTGGGATACAGCTGGCCAGGAGGATTATGACCGCTTAAGACCCCTCTCCTATCCTCAGACGGTGGGTCCCTTTGCTTGAGAAATTTCCCTCATGCCTGTTTGTATGTGTTTCATGTGGGATCTGGGCCACTGTCTGCACGTTTAGTCTAACTTTGGTGGGATGTGAGCGCTGTTCACTTCATTCATCCATCTCCAATATCCCTTGAGGCTCCCTCTTCATAAATTAAATCAAAACACCTTCAGCTCTGAGAAGAGCTGGTCTCGGGTCAGAGACTCATGGTCCCTGACTGTGAGGAGTAGAAAATATCCGGGCTTCAGTTTTATATAGCAGTAGAGGGCAGAGTTCTGTCCAACCTAGCAGTTCGAAAGCAAGAAATTGCAAGTAGATAAATAGGCACCACTTCGGTGGGAAGGTAACAGCGTTCCGTGTGCCTTGGTGTTTAGTCATGCCGGCCACATGACCACAGAAACGTCTTCGGACAGCGCTGGCTCTTCGGCTTTGAAACGAAGATGAGCACCGCAACCGTAGAGTCGGATTCGACTGGCTTTCGAGCAAGGGAAACCTTTACCTTTACTAGGGGGCAGAGAGGAACCACCACAAGAAGAGAGAAGAGACAAGGATCCAAAGCTGATTCCCTCATCCCTTCGAACAGTGATGGCTGGCAACATTTTTGTGCCAGAGGCAAAGAAAAGGGGGCTTGCCATGATGGTAAAAACATAATACGTTAAATAATTGCCTGTTTCCTGCCCTTTTAATGGTACCCTAAACTCTTCCCCCTGAGGCAATCTGCTTCACCGCGCCGAATGGTAGGACCAGCCCTGCCTTTGAAGAACAGTACACTCAGGCTGCATGATGGCCCCAAGGAAGATGCTGATCAAAATGCCTTGGGCTTTTCAGAACATTTTAATTCTGCACGGACAATTCTTATCGAAGAACAGCATGAGTCTGGGCTCACGTTTCTCATTTTCGGGGGGGGGGGGCTGTCACCTTTTCCTCCCCACAAACGCAATGGAGGTCAGCGTTTCTGTACCTTTAACAGTGGAGCAGAAGAGAGCATTTCTGTGGGCGTAGCTTTTTTTTAATTGCATGACAAGCTGCACTAGTTAAAAGTTTCAGCTGCTAATGGCATAGTGCAAAGGCCAGCGGGAACCAGGGGACAAGGAAAAAAGGGGAAGCTGACAGTTCTGCAGACCAAGCTCTAACGTTTGGGGGTTTCATGCATACTCAGAAATACCAAATGGTTACGGTAAGGGGGAAAACACAGACGTCTTACATTAGTAAAACGAAGTATCGTTTCTTACAGTGAGTTCAAGATTATTAGAATCTGCAGTTTGGAAAGGAGAAGTAGAAAGTGACAAGTCCGTACGTGTATTTTAAAAATCCCACACAGAATCCCATATGCTCAGTATACACATAAGTGTAGAAGTAGCTCAGGTTGCAACTAAGGTTGAAGCTGCTCCCACCTGGTCCTGCCTTAGGGCAAACATGGAATTCTGTTCACTAATGTAAGGGGAGGACAGAAAAAACAACAAGGGCAGCTCTGGAGTGAGAGAGATTTCACCTCGTTCTTGATTTGGGTATTTATAGTGGCCTGCACAACCAGGGACTCACCGAGGTGGACACACCCCACCAACCATGAGCTGCAGCTGTCTACCAGGTGGTTGACGAAACCCACACCGCTCAGTATTTGCAGTCCAAGCCAGGCAGCAAAGCTAGAAAGTTCACTGTGGCACTGGTGGGCTGCCATATATGGCTGATGGGCAGCACTGAACTTGATAGGTCGCATCTAAAGGTAAAGGACATGCTATCTGATTGGCAGTTTGGCCAACCCTGGGAGTAGCTGAGAAAGGGGAACAGATTAACTGAGGCTAACCCCAATCACAGAACCTTGTCAGAGACCTGGGCTAGTTAGTCCAACTCCCTGCTCAAAGCAGGAAATCTAGACTAGAGCATTCTGATAGCCTCTGCTTCTTTAGCAAAGAAGACTGAAATCTGCCCTCCTACAGTTTAAGGCAGGGATATCCAACTTTTTTGAGCCTGAGGGCACCTTTGGAATTCCAACACTGTCCTGTCACAAAATGGCTGCTGACAGAGCTATTTTTGGGCAGAAACACACAGGAACGGAGTTCCAGCTGGCTTCTGAGTTGGCCACGCCTATAGCCTCCCCCCACCCCGGGTTCCCCAGGTGCCTCGCAAGCTACGGGGCACCTAGGGAAGCCAAGCCGATACAGAGAGGGAAGGCAGTTTAAACTGCCTCCCCTCCTCAGGTTCCCCAGGCACCACACAAGCTGCAGGGCTCCTGGGGAAGCTGATCCTGGGAGGGAGCTGAGCTGTCAGGGGTGTGGCCTAATATGCTAATGAGTTTCTGCTGTTGGGTGTGGCTTATTATGCTAATGAGTTTCTGTTGAGCTTTTTCTACCAAAAAAGCCCTGGCTGCTGTGGGAGGTGGAGCCAGCCATACAAAATGGCTGCCACAATTTACCTTCCATCACACAGTGAAGATCCTTGTGCTGTGGTGGCAGCTGCTGCCAAAGCAACATTTTAATAATCTTCACTGCCAATCAAATCTCCAAGGGCCAATCAGAAGCCTTGCTGGGCAAAAGCCCTACCTGTTCCCACCCACTTCCTAAAAACCTTTGGTGGGTGCCAGGAAAGATGTCATTGGATACCATGGTGGTCATGAGCACCACATTAGGGACTCCTGACTTAAGCCAATTAGATCCAATTAGATCCAGTCATCCTGTGGAGCAGCAGGGAACAAGTCCTTGTCCTCTTTTATGTGACAGCCCATCAGGTATCTGAAAAAAGTGGTTATGTTCACCCTCAGTCTTCTCTTCTATACAGTAAACATACCCAGTGGGAGCAGAACTGTGATATGAGTAAAGGTGGCTTGTTAAGTGTCAGAAGAGTCCCCTGTGGAACAGCTAGTTGGGGGACCTTGACTCTTGGTCATCCAAAGCTTTAGCTATTCTCCTCCACACTATTGACTGTGTCCGTTCACTTTTGCAAAGTCTCTAATCCCTTTTTAAATCTGAGCACTCTATTCTGTTTTGTTGTATTGCTCATTCTATTTGGTATTTCTGTGCAGTCTCTTGTGTTTAATGTATTATGTTTGCCATTGTTAAATGACATAAACTAGAGAAAGTTAAACCATTTTAAACTGCCTCAATTTCAGTAAAGCAGATTAGTTACTTTCCCACTGAAATCAATGGGAGTGAAAAGTGTTTCACTAGATCATGGCTTAAATTTGTAACCAAAAAAATCTGGACACACACGACCCAATCAGTTAAACAAGTGTAAAGCCAACAGTCGTGATAGTCTGACCCACAATCAAACAGTCATAAGACTTATAAAGAATGCTGTTTATGTATTGCAATCTAAAGCACTACAACATGATTACCAACTAGGGTTGCCAAATCTTCTTCCCCTCGTGGCGGGGGAGCGTCGCCGCGGTCCGGGAGTCGGGCAGATGTGCGCGCGCGCGTAAAGCGCGC